TGTCGTAGCATTAATTTGAATTCCAGCTACAATTTGCTGCTGAAATTAATTTATCCACGAGCACAAGTAGATGTTCAATCATTATGTACCCAATTAGGTACATCTATGATAAAAAATACAATAAAAGTAAATAGTTTACGATACTTCGGGAAATCTTCAAATGTTAATTCGATGTGGAGAGAAAAATTAAATTTGTCAGAGCGAGCACGCTGTTATAAAAAGTTAGTAAAAGATGGATGTTTGTATTTATCGTCTATTAAAAAAAATGAACGTTCTGATAACACGATTGGCAAATTAGTCGATGAAAAATATATTAAGATTGTAGAATTTATTGTAGATCCAATTTCAAAACAAGAATTTATAATATGTCAATTTTTGAGTACTCAATCTGCTTTCACAAATAACTATAAAGCTCTGCAGAAAGTGTTAGCAGTATCAAGCGATGAAATAGCAATGCCAACTGTCAATTTGGAGAAAGTTTGTGTTCATTTAGGTATCCGCAAAAAAAATTATGTTTGTGCAGTTCCTAATCTCTATAGCTACTAAGATAAAAAAAACATGTTTATTACGAAACATTGTTTTTGAAAGTTATTGAATTTAAATGACTGATATTTTTGCATATTAAGTATTTTCTCTTTAAATGATAAAGTCGAAATTTCAAATATTTAATAATTGACATTGTCAAATTCGTATGTCTGTCATAAAACTTTACAGATTTTAATCTTTGCACAGTGAATTGCAAAGTATTTCTGGAGTACTTTCTAATGCAATGGCATTAAGAGAAATAATTTTCACCCTTCTTTTTTTACATTAAACCAAATTTTCTACTTATGTCAAAAAAAATTTTTCTATTTTTATATCCATTATACACTCAATATTTTTTCTATTAAAATATGTAAATTTAAGGACAGAAAAGCAATAGGGTTTTAATAAAATGTAGAAAGACAAATTTTTTTACAGGTTTACTTTTTCTGTGCCATTTCATGGTTCTACTATAAACGTAATCATCTTTACATAATCTCCATCATACAATTGTGCAAAAACAGTTATTGGTTTATTTTTATCTGATGAATATAACAAACAATTTTGCCTAACAACTTTTTTTATACATAACAGCTCGCTCAGAGAGATATAATATTTTAATCTAAAAAATCTACGGGAGAACTTGCACCGAAGACCGACTATAATTTAATTAAAGAGACATCATTACCCATAGTTGCACCATTTTTTTGACTAAACATTTTAGGGGGTATGATTACCTGGTTCTTGCAATACGTGTAAATTGATGATGTACCCTTTTAGGAGCATAAATAACTTTCAATAATTTTCCATTACCACATTCATTACACACTCTCATATGTATTGAGAGTCGAAAGGGGTCCCCAATTATATATTAGGTTAATGAAGTTATAACTGTTTTTGTATAAATTACATCCTCTTCTGAAACAAATTGATGTAACAACTGGTCGGCTAGATTCATCTCCAAATTTACTATCTCCTATTACATCAAAAAGTAAACTGCTTCAATGAATAAAGGCCAATGTAATACAATATCTTTTGTTATTACTTGTGAAGAATGGGCACGCTAAAGAATAATGTCCAGTTCTCTCATTCTCTTGCTTTCCAATTTCTCTTTCAACAAAAACCCGAAATATTTGATTCGGTGCTTTAATATTATATATAAATCATTATTATTCTCTGCAACCAATTCTTTGAAAAACAATCCGGATTTTCTTTTACTTACAAACAACATTGTTGCAAACTGTTTAGCTATTCTGCTGTTCCATGTTAATTAAATTTATTAATTGAGAAGCTTTTGTTCACAGCAAGAAAAGAATTTTTTCTTGCACGTCAACCCCATATGTTTTATAGTTTTTTTATTATTTCTACTCTCTGGTACTGGTTTTAGGGAATATTTAATATTCCTTAAAATATTTTTCACATATATTATTTTATTTTGAACCTATTTTCATGATTGTAAGCACTGATTGCATTCTCTTTTGTACAAATAATTATTAGTAATTGGTTTCATATTACAAAAGTTGACCAAATAGAGTAGGTGAAACTTTCAAATAATGGTGCACTATCAGTATTAAAAATTAAAATTGAGAGATTATGTTCATTTTTTGCACGTAACTTCTTTACAAATCGGTTCATTTAATCATCACAGATATCAAGCATCACACTTTTCTCAAATCGTCTTTCACTATTCACAAAATTGTAATATTCATTATTTTTACAAATCTTACATTTCATAAAACTATTTTTCCGATACATTTTTCAATGAAAGCTTTACAATTTGGATACGTCACATTTAACTTACATAGTTTTTAATGAATCAATTTATCAATTAAATATCGCGTATTGTGGAATTGTATGGTAAACAAAAGTTAAATAAAAAATTTCAATTAGTGATATTGAATATACAATAATATATTTTTAAATCTTTATAATTATCTTACTTGCAATTGTAATCACTGGAAATGGAAACGGTAGTCTTATTTTACATAACAAATCTTATGAATTCAAAAAATTTTGAAACGAATATTTAAGCGTTTCGTCTTTTTCCGACTTTTTTCATCATTCTATAAGTTTTATAAAATCATAATAATATATTCTACAGTTGGATTATATGAAAGTATTTAGTATCATGTAAAAAATATATAAAAATTGTGATATTTTGATATACGTTTATTTCTTTATTATTTAGAATATTTATTCAAATGTTAATATTCCTTTGACATAATTAAATAAAAATACAATTTATAATTGTAAAAAAATTCTTAATTTGTTGTATGTAATTCAAAGTTGTGCATGTGATAATGTTTTTATACTTTGAAATAAAATGTTTCTCTTTTGAAAAAGGTGTTCAGAGCATTAAAACATACGTAAATAATATTATGAAATTTGTAAACAATCATTTTTGCACAAGTTTTTTTTGTTCACAGACGCTTCACACAAAATTTACCCATAAACCATTGATTAGACATACAATAGTATGTCATATAGTAAATCATATTATATCTGAATTAAAAACATCTTTTAAATTAAGATAATTTAGATGATGCGTCTCAATAGTTTGTGGGCACAATTTGTGAAAAGTGTTTGTGTGTAGGCAGAAAGATGTTCAGAAATGAGTGTTTAAAAATTTCAAGTCATTTGAATCGACTAGTGCATTTTGTTGAGTAATAACTGTCCGCGCATAATAAGACCGCGCATATCAAAGTGTTAAAGTCATTTTTTGATAATCTCATAAAATTAGTTTTTATCATATATTATTAAATGGAGAAAATTACTTAATCGCATTAGTATTTATTTACACTATCTTCTCATAAAGAAATTATTGTATTGTTCAAATTTTTAATTGCGAATTTAAAAAATCTACACGGAAAAACTTTGTTTAAGAATCATTCCTGAATTTGCTTCGGAATGGAGGATATGAGAAAAATTCTGCAAAATTTACAGAAAAATACAAAAATCATTGAAGAAAATACTTGTATTTTTATTATGACATTGGAAGACTTCTTGTTAATGCCGCGATCGGAATATCTCAGTCACTGGGCGTTGAAAGTTTCTTGAACTGTTTTAGAAGACACAGTACAGTAACCAAGCACTAGGCAGGGATTGGTTGCGTCAAATATGTTTCCAATGCATAATACCGTAAGCTGCTAAGGTAGCTGAGTGATGTAAAGCGGAGTTTTTGGACTCTCGAGGACGTGGGATCGAGTACTCCCAGAGTAAATTTTTTTTCTCGCAAACGTAAGAATTTATTCTAAAACAAGTTTAAGACTTTCTGTAGTGAGTTTAGGAAGTTGTTTTGAATTTCTCTACAATTCTTATAGAAATACTGCTTAGAATTTTTCAAAGAAAATATAAATAAGATTTCTTAAATTATTCTCATATCCTCCGTTCCTGAACAAATTTAGGAATAATTCTTGCACAAAGTTTTTCCGTGTATACTTGTTATCTTCCACCAGTCCAAATAAATAGCATGTAATATTAAAATCAAATTTTGGCACTAAGAGACATTACTTCAAAATTTGGTACTATTTGGGATTGATAGTATTCTTCAACATGCTAAAATTTTAGAAGATTTAATCATGCGTTAATCTACATATGTAAAATAATAAACTATTAAATATTTCATGGGTCACCTATGTGGTGACCCATGAAGGTCAACACATAGGTAGACCCATGTGTAACGACCCATGTGTAGACCTATATGAGATCCTACGTGGGTCACTACATGGGTCACCATATAGGATCCCATGTGGTGACCTACATAGGTTTTTTCAGTAGGGGCTCCAACGTTGTAAATACGTTTTTTTTTTGTTGAGATTTAAAAATTTTTATTTCAGTATATAATTAGTCAGGAATATTAATTAAAAAATAGAAATAAATTTTAATTAAAAAAATTGAAAATATAAATAATATGGAATATTAAATAAATTATATCAATGTAGAAAATAAAATAAAATTAAATAGAAAATAATAGTAAAATTAAATTTTTTTCTAAAATGTCATTTTTTTATACGTAGATTTTTATTAATTTAAAAATTTAATTATTTACATGAAATAAAAAAATATATTAAATTAATAATTTATTTTGAAATTTCAATTGAGTTACTTTAAAAAATTTTCAATTTTAAATAATTTAAATTGAATACAAAAACAAAAATTTCTGTAAAAATTATAAAAATTTAAATATAATAATTTTAATACAAGAATAAAAAAAAAATAGAAAAATAGAAAAAAAAATTAATTAGAATTTAAATATAATAATTTGATTACGAGAATAAAAAAAAATTATAAAAATAGAAAAAAATTTAAATATAATAATTTGATTACGAGAATAAAAAAAAATTATAAAAATAGAAAAAAAAATTAATTACAATTTAAATATAATAATTTGAATACGAGAATAAAAAAATAATAAAAATAGAAAAAAAAATTAATAAGAATTTACATTAATTAGAGCAATAAATAAAATTCAATTGAAATTATCGTTTTGAAAATTTATTATATTTTCCAAATAAAAAGATTGAATTTACAAATTATAGATAACATTTTCTATAAGTGTTAAACTAATTGTTTTATTATTATTATTATTATTATTATTATTATTATTATACATGAAAAGACTTTTTTTTTTTTAAAATATCTCTATTTCTTAATAAGCATCTTCTTCGGGTCCAGGTTGAAATTGAGTTTTTCTTTCACCAGCTCTATATTGTCTCATTCGTTCTTGTTTCATTAGAAAAACTCGCATATTTTGCTTATTTCGAAAGGTGCATTCACGCAAATCAAGTATAAAATCAGCGCATTTTCCACGAACATGATGCTTGCCATAAGCCTCTAAACAATTAGCGGCATTTATTTCAAATTGCATACAACGTTCATTATCTTGACTAACATTAAGTGCACCCCATAATCCATCAAATGGTCCATCAATCCATGGAGTTAGAGACATTTTTTTCTGCAAAAAAAAAAGAGTGAAAAAAAATTTATTTATTTCCCTTCAAAAATTGTCAATTTTTAAAAATACTTTAGCTTTCAATTTTTTTTTTAATACAGTAAAAAAATTCTATCAATAATTAAATAATTTACAAATTAATTTTTTATAAAAACAATATTTAATCCTTTTTTGTTTTTGTGTTTAATTTTTTTGGATTTATAATTTTTCTCTTTAAGATATTTTTTATATTTGAATTCCAAAAAATTTTCGATTTGAAATAATATTAAAAAATTAAAATATAATTTAAAATTAAATTTACATGTAAAAATACGAAAAATGTTGGAAAAATTTTATTAGTAAAAATAAAATCGACAATAAAATTAATTAATAAAATTTTGACAATGGTAGAACACATGACATTTTTTTTTTTTTTTACGAAAAAAGGAAAACTTTTTTCGTAAATTTTGCATTACTTACCAGTATTTTGTATTTAATATTTAATTTAATTTTTTCATATTGTTTATTGTCTATTAATAATTTGTATATAAAATTTTTATTTTCAATTATTAAAATGTTTTAAACATTTTTATAAAATAATGTACATAACCTATATTTCCATTTTTCGTGTTATGTAATTCTAAAATATGTATTTAGAAGGAATTTTTAATTGTAAATTCTAACTAATTTTGTAAAAGTTTATAAATACCTGATGATATTAGATTGATAAATTATTAAATTCTTTATTGTTTCCTAAAATTCGCCTTTATCAGAAATAAAATAATATTTTTCTTGACTTTCTTCTCTAGCGGTTAAAAATCGTACTAAATTCCAGTGCTACCAATGGAGAGAAGAGAAAAAATTTTTTAAATCGATAATTTAATATTCGAAAAGAATGAAAAAATTAAATTAGATAAGTAAATTAATTTAATTAAAATTTTACGAATTAGATTCTTATAACGAAAATAAAGAACTATTTTTGTTTAATAAAAATTATATATATATTATATATATATATATATAATATATTTTACGTATATTTTCAATAAATAAAAGAAAAGAAATCAAAACAAAGACAAAATAAAATAATGAATTAAATATAATTATTTTTTATTCAAGGTACAAAATTTAATATATTCACAAAAAAATATATTTAATTATATTTATTAATATATTAAAATATTAAAATATATTTTCAAAAATTTAGTGCGCAGTAAATTAATTGGTAATTTTTCTACCTTAAAAATTTTATTAAATTATTCGTAATGAAAAAAACAATTTTTTTTACATTAACCATTTTTTACTTCCGGATCTCTGAAATTATTAAAAAAAACATTAATTAATTAAAAATTCTTTAATTAATTTATTTTTATTTACTTTTTTTCCGTTTTTTTTCTTTTGTAATTTATTTTATTTTCATAATAAAAATTCAGCAATTTCCTCATGCATTTTTCTAAATGACATTGAATTCCTCGCGTTGTTTATCATAAAAATTGGAATATCATTTACATCCTTAAAATTAACAACAATCAATTGACATCCATAACATAAATTCTTTTTTAAAATTTTCACATCATCCTCTGTTTTTTCCGTACAATTTTTTTTACATTCACAATCACGATTACAATTATTTTCTTCAATTTCAGAATTTTCCTCAACTTTTTTATCATTTTCTTTAATTATTTTCGTCTCCTTTGATTCACAATTTTTATCTGTTACTTTTTTCTCACAATTTGACTCGATTTTTTTAATTAAACTCTCATAATTTTTTCCACCATTCAATTCAATGACATTAGTCGAAACAAATTGTGAATAATTTGTCGCTTGAATTGCACAAATTTCACTATTATTTAATTCCGTATCGAGTGTAGCATTACATAATATGCAAAATTTTTCATTTTTCTCCTTTGAAATTAATGTACAAAGTTTTTCACCAGTTCGCAATACAGTTGAAACTGTACCATGTGATTCAGCGTCCATTTCATTGACAAATTGACTAATTAAATTTTGAATTGATTTTAATTTATTTTTATCGTTAAAATTTTTTAATTTTACTATTGGTATTTCCACATTATGAAATTGGGAATAATAATCAATTTCCATTGTTGTAAATCCTCTCATTGGTCGTAATATCATTGTATCTGAATAACGTGTATCAATAAAACCAACATCCAATGAAAGATGTGCACCACGACCCATTGAGATATTATTTAAAATTGATATTGAAAGAGAAGTTGCTGATTCGGCGGTAAATATTTTATTACAATTAAGCTGTAATGCTACACGATGTAAAAGTCTCGATCGTAATTTTAATAGAAGATCTTTTTTTGCCGATTCATCGTTTAGTGATGCGAAAATTTTTTTTATTTCCTCATTTTCATCATTTATAATCGTTGAATCAATGGGAGAAATTTTTGGCATCAATTCCGTGAGAGATTCATTTATTGTTGTGAAAAATCCATTAAAACCGAAATTTTTTATTTGATCAGAAATTTTATTTACACTTTCACGTCGTTGATCTAAAGTTTTTCCTTCCAAAATTCCCTCTGTAACAAAATGGGGAAAAAAATTAAAATTCTTTGTTAGTGTTTTTTTTTTTTTTTTTTTTCGTTTTTTTTTTACCGTCAATGTAAAGAACTGTCGATTTAAAAACAAGTCTTTTGTGAGTAGATTCTTGCATTCCAGCACGAATTAAATGAAGTAAAATTGACGATGCTGCACGACCAGAATGTGCAACGAGTATTTTGTCATTGGGACGAACAATTTTCGATTTTCCCAATGTTGCACGAAATTTATGTGTTGACGAGGCGAGAAAACAATTTTTACAATATGCATCTTTTCCCCTCAATACAATTGCCGTTTCTTTTTCCTCACATTTTTTACATTTTGTGTCATTCCTAAAAAAAAAAACGCAAAAATTGTTTTTATTTCAATATATTCTTCAATTATTTAATTAAAACTAATTATTTTTTCCTTTTTTTTTTATTATTTATATATTTTTTTATTAATATTTTATTAATAGTATATTTTACACTAATTCTAATAATACACTGAAGAAAAAAAATTTATTTCATTCAAATACTCGATTACTTGAGTATTATCAAATAATAATATTTACTTGAACCAAATAAATTTTATTTGAACCAATAATTTTTCTATTTGAAAGAAATAAATTTTTTTTCAGTGTAGTAATAAAAAAAAAAAAAAAAAAAAAATAATAATAATAATAATAATACTAAAAATAATAATAATAATAATATAAACTATTAATAAAGATGATTAATAAGAATTAATTAAAAGAATGGTTTTAACAAAAATTAAATAAATAAATAAATAATAATAATAATAATAATAATAATTACTTGAGTATTATCAAATAATAATATTTACTTGAACCAAATAAATTTTATTTGAATTAAATAAATTGTATTTAAAGAAATAATTTTTCTATTTGAAACAAATAAATTTTTTTTCAGTGTAGTAATAAAAAAAAAAAATAATAATAATACTAAAAATAATAATAATAATAGTAATAATATTAACTATTAATAAAGATTAATAAGAATTAATTAAAAGAATGGTTTTAACAAAAATTAAATAAATAAATAAATAATAATAATAATAATAATAATAATTACTTGAGTATTATCAAATAATAATATTTACTTGAACCAAATAAATTTTATTTGAATTAAATAAATTGTATTTAAAGCAATAATTTTTCTATTTGAAACAAATAAATTTTTTTTCAGTGTAGTAATAAAAAAAAAAAATAATAATAATACTAAAAATAATAATAATAATAGTAATAATATTAACTATTAATAAAGATTAATAAGAATTAATTAAAAGAATGGTTTTAACAAAAATTAAATAAATAAATAAATAATAATAATAATAATAATAATAATAATACAAATAATAATAATAAAAATACTAGTACTAATAATAATAATAATAATTCTAATAATAATAGTAAATTGGTATTATTATTATACCTATATTAATTTTTAATTTATTTACACTAATAATTAATTTGTTTTATTATTTTCTCAATTATTCGTATGTCAATTGTGTTTTTTTCCTTATTATTTGCATTTTTACGATTCTATATTTTTATTTTTCATGATTTTATTTTCCAATTTTGTTAATATTTAATAATATTATATTTATTTATATAAAATCGTTTATAAAATTTTAATTGTTTATTTAAAAAAAAAAAAAAGAAATAATGATGCAATTTTCATATGTAGAGGTTAACTCAGTATTATTTTGAATATAAAAAAAAATAATATACATACAAATCAATTGTTTTGGAAATTATCGGTGTTTCAGTCCCAATTTCACAATCGTCGTCATTTACACTGCACATATTTAAAAAATATCACTAATTTAAAAAAAAAAACAATATTTTCCAACAAAATCGTGCGTCTCGTGTTTTGTGTTGACGTTTTGAGGTTATGTTCGCGCCCAGGCTCGTGTCACGTGTTTAAAAAACTGTCACTTTAATTTCCATTTTAAAACTCAAAACACTGTTTTAAATTATAGATAAATTAATAAATTATATTATATATTTAATTTTATTTTCTCTTTTTATCTCAAAGCTAATAATATTTTCGTGAATAAAAAAATTTTTATCCGAAAAAAAATTTCGCATTTACAAAAGAAAGTAAATTTTTTAATGAATTATTATAAAATCTTTCATAAAAAAAACGCTTCCACGAAAGTAGAAATTTTTTTTACGATTTTCTAGAAAAAAAAACACAATTATTAATTTCGGTGATTCAAATATCGTGGGCAATTCATTCGACCAATGAAAATCAAGCATAGCTTGGTAATAATTCCGTGAATGGCGCTAACGTCACTTTACCTCGGGCGAGCTCGAGCTCAATCGCCATTTTGTTTCTGTACTCCGTTAAATGTATATATGTGTGTGCGCGAGTTAAATAGCGATACATACACGTGAATTTTTGACGTTCCATACACGCGCGCAAGACCCTGGCTTTCTACATAGACACACATACAAATATATATAGTGGCACAAGATTTCAGTGTTTGTATATAAATGTGTATTTGAGTATTAGTGTTGAACTGCAGATGACAATGATGGCTGCCACCAGCGAAGAACGGAGTGTTATGGATCCATCGCGTACGAATTCAGTGCAAAATCAATCTGTGGACCGTTTGAAGATGCTTTATCCAATGGTGAATGAAGATGAAACACCATTGCCACGTTCATGGAGTCCAAAGGATAAATACAACTACATTGGACTATCGCAAAATAATCTTCGCGTTCATTACAAAGGTAGGTGGTGAGAATATATATTGTTCATCGCACACACTTATATATATATATATATATACATACAATTCCCCTCTTATGAATACTGCGATGCGCGCCCAATGCTTGACCTTACCCACCGATTTTTCCCTTAGCTAATTGATTGTCATTTAATGAAAATCATTTAAAATTAATTTTCCATATTTCATTATTAATCTCAATTATATCTTATCAGCCATGGTAATATCGATTGAAAATGGCAGAGCTCTCTTTTGCGTGTGTCAGCGACCTAAACAAAGGAGTCAGCTGATCGTCGATGTAGTTTGCGTCGACGATTCTTTTTTTTTTGGCTTTTAATTTTTTATTCTATTTCTGTAAAATTTAATTTTCTTTTTTGATAATTTTCTGGGGGGGGGGGAAAGAAAACAGTGTTTCTATTTTTGGTGGGGAAAAAAAAAATTCAAGTGGCAAATGGAAGGGAAAATTTTTCTTTTGAAAATAAGAGACTAAGAGTGTTGAATGGAAAAAGAAAAGCTGGAAATAAAAAAAATAACGCGTATTGGCAAACGTACAATGTCAATGACAGCTGTTTTGTCGAAAAGTGTATATATACGCATGGTCGGAAGTGTTGGGAGTTTATTTGTATGTGTGACAAAAAAAAAAAAAGATAAGATTTCGTTTGATTGTGTTAGTTTTTCTTTTTTCATTGCATCCCGAGAAATAGTGTGTGTGTGTGTGAGAGAGAGAGAGAGGGAGCTTTGTAATCTGACATGGCGTAAGATTTCTATAACACGATGCATTGTCAAGAAAAAGGAACTAAAACTAGTTACTTGAAATAATCAAAACGTTGTTCTTAGATAGATATTTAATTTTCTCTTTCAATCGTTTTTAATTTTTTTTTTTACTTTCTTCAGGAATTTTCCTCTTTTTTTTCTTTTGAACCGTTTTTATCTCGAAAATTCGAATTTTTTCTCAATTCAATTAATTCTCATTCGTTTTCTTTTTTCCAACTTTTTTTGTCCCTTTTGTTCCGATAAATTAATTAATTTACTTTTTATTGTCATAATTATTTTTAATATTTATAAATTATAATTGAAAAATTGAAAAAAAATATGTACCATATAAAAATTTTTCAAGGATAGAAATGAGATTAGTTTTTTTTTTTTTTTTTTTGCTAAAAAGTGTTTTTAAAAAAAAAATAATTTCAATAATTGAATTAAGTTTATTACTACTGTTAAAAGTTTTTCCTTTATATACAATATAATTTTGACCTTCATTGTTCAGGGCTTGGCAGAAGCATTAGATGCAGCACGCCAATTAAAATTTTGCATTCTCATTCAAATGACTATGGATTATTTAAATTACGACAAGGGAATATTTATTTTGTTGTAAATAAATATATTTTTTTATTGAAAAAATTTTTTTTCTTCTAATTTTTGTTTTATATTTATCATAACAGTGATTACATTTGACCAATTTTTTTTCATTATGAAAACGTATAAAGAAGAATTTTTTTTTTCATCTCGATGCAGTAAATTAATTTTAATAATAAAAATAGAGTAAAAAATTTTAAAAACAAAAAATTTACTTTTTATTTACTAAATAATTTCAGACCAAAAAAAAAATTAAAAAATCTTAATAACATAATTAAAAAAAATTTTACTTTTCTAATAACAATTTTAAAAATAGTGAAAATTAAAATTTACTATTATTATTATTATTATTATTATTATTATTTAATAATAATAAAAAAGGAAATATTTATAAAATAATTTGTTAATTTACATTTTAAAAATAGTAAAAATTGAAATTTACTTTTATTATTATTATTATTATTATTATTATTATTATTATTTAATAATAGTAAAAAAGGAAATATTTTTAAAATAATTTGTTAATTTACATTTTAAAAATAGTAAAAATTGAAATTTACTTTTATTATTATTATTATTATTATTATTATTATTATTTAATAGTAGTAAAAAAGGAAATATTTATAAAATAATTTGTTAATTTATATTTTAAAAATAGTAAAAATTAAAATTTACTCTTATTATTACTATTATTATTATTATTGTTATTTTTTATATTTAGTTTCTTAATTAAAAAACAAATATTTTTATTAAATAATTAATTAAAATGATTTTTTAATTTATTAAAAAATTAATTCAGACATGAAAAACTAAAAAAAAAAAAATTTTAATTTAAATTAAAAAAAATTTTGAATGAAAAATTTAAAAAAAAAAAAAAATAAAATAAAAATGATTAAATTGAAAATAAATTTTGTACGCGTCTTACATTTTTGGCTTGAAAACGTAGTAGCATATTTTAGTTTCTATTCATTAGTGATTCACGCATGCGGGATGTATATTTTGAAATTGTGATTTTTTGATCAAGATTTGCTCTCTTCAACGAGAGATTTTATTTTTATTATTATTTTTGAAAAAAAAAATTATTACGTTTTTTTTCATTATTTTTTTTAAAAGATAATTTCAAATAAAATATTTGTTTTATTATTCTATTTAATTACAAGGACAATTATTTAACTTTGGTATATTATAAAGAAATATAGGTCTTTTGATAATAATTATATTAAAGACAACTTATTTTTGAAAGGATAGATATATATATTGTTGTCAGAGGAGCAATTACTGTAATTGCCATCAGTACATCTCAATTTTCTACATGGTTCAGTGAGCGACTCTGTTCATTATTATTAGTTTTACAATGTTTCCTCTTTTTTTTTTATTATTTCTTGAAATAACAGTAATTGATATATTATTGAAAAAAAAAATATTTGTGGATTTTTTAAAAAGTTTTTATTAGATATAAATAATAATAATATTTTTTTTTATATAATTCACGTAATTTGTATTATTTTTAATAACATTTTATTGTAAATTTTTTTTTGCAATTTATTACATTTCTATTTTTTGAAATTTTTATTTTAAAAATATATAAATAAATTACAGTAGGTATTTTTTGGTTTCAATTTTTCTCAGTTGGAAAATTTTGTATTTTGTTTGGTTTAGAAAAAAAATTCCCAATGTTGTTTAAAAAAAAAAAAAAAATGGAATTTCGAGAATTAATGGAAAATTGTGAAATGTTAACTCTTTTGTGGGCAAAGCTCCAATTTTTTTTTTCATGTTAATTTTACAGTTGGATTAAAAAATAATAAATTTTTTTTTCATTTTACGAGTGATTAATTTTAAATACTTAAATTTATTTCAATTTTTTCATTGAAAATTACAAAAAAAAAAAAAAATGCGGAAAAATAAAAGAACCTGTGAAGTTTGCGTGCGCCTTCACTTTTTAACTGTTAGAGAGGAAAAAAAAATTATGTAAATAAAAAAATATTTACTATTACAATTATCGACAAAACTTTTTAAGGAGGGTATTTTAGTTTTGAAGCAATATAAATATTATCTGAAATTGTTGGTTATTTGAAAAAAAAGTATATATATAGAATTAAATAATACTTTTACAATGTCACAACAAATTAATAGGACGGATATGGATGGCATTGCAATTTTCTGATCGATTCTAGTCAATACAAGTAATCGTTGTGTATTAGTTGTGAGAAAGAGAGAGAGAGAGAAGGATTTTCAAATTCGTATCTTGACATTCTGCAAGGTTAAGTTTTTATATTGATTTTTTGAGCTTCCTATTTGTCAAGGTTGATATTATAGAAATAAAAAAGAGTTTCACAGAGCGAACAGTAGAAAGTTTCTTTGGCGTTTTAGAAATTCTTTTTTTTTTTTCCTTATATTTGATTTTTATAAATTATTTTTTAATATAGAGATTTTTTTTAAAAGTATTGTTTTTTAAATGTTGCTTAATTATTTACCATATTTTTGGATTTATCCTTTAATTAGTAATTTTTCTATTTAAAATTGTTAACAGTATTTATAATTATTATTATATTTTATTTATTATTATTTATTTATTAATCATAGTTCATGCCATTCGATTTTGAACGGATTTCCGGTATATATAAACTTTTATATAATTATTATTATTTAAATTTATAATATTTTTATTATAGTTCATTATTATATTAATTTATGATATTTTAATTATAATAATTGATTATTATATTAATTTATGATATTTTTATTATAATAATTGATTAATTATAATATTAATTATATTATTCGAAAATTACAATATTATTATTGTTTTGATATAATTATTAGTGATTTAAATTTGAACCCTACGGGGAATCGAACCCTAAACGCAAAAACCAAACCCGAGCGTTAACGACTGCGACCATTGCAACGACATTTTAGAATTTATACATTTTATTGTTTTAAAATAACATATAGAAAATAATTTTATTTCAAACAAAAAAGCTGTTTTTTTTTCATTTCTGCGACATTATTTATTTAATTCATTTCAATAGCGTTTTATATATACGGAAATTAAAACTTTTGCAATTTTTTTTTGTTTTTTAATAATTAAAAAAAAAAAATTATTATTGTCTTTCAAAATTATTTATCAAAATATGGCGCATCTTTTTAAACACAAAAAAAAATATATATTTCTTGTTTTGTGCTCTTTTTTTATTGCCCCGGGAACAAAATGTAAACAAAAATGTTGAGAGTACATTTTACCTGGTAATACTGCAAATTATTATTTTTTTTATTTTTCATCTCGCTTTTACTTGAATGTGAAAAATGCCTTTGATTTATATTTTTAATTAGATTTTTTTTTAAATTAATTATTTGGATAATTTAATTACGCTGAAAAATTAGTATAAAATTAAAGAACTGAAAAAATTATAAATTAGAAAATTTATATTTTTATTATTATTATTATTATTATTATTATTATGAATTATTATTATTATTATATTAATTTATAAATGCCTCGCTATTTATATTATTTTTATTATAATAATAAATTAATTATATTTTGAATTAATTAATTTTTATTTTATATTAAAAAAAAATAATTAGAAAATTTTTAATTTCAAAAAAGCAATTTATTATATTTTTGAAATTAATAATTGAGAAAATGATAGT